GCCAAGAACGCCCAGCAGGAGCGAGAGCGGTGATGCGCCGCAAGAATCGTCGTGCAGCGAGGCAAAGATGGCGGCGGTGCAGTCGTTGCCTTGCCCTGCTGCTCCTTCATGCATCTGCATGCCCACCCACCCTTGCCCCACTGACTCATCTACTCAAGACTCACCTTGACAAGAACGAATGACGACACAAAAATACAAGCACGAGTCGTGAGTGTAAATCTCACGGAACAGCTTCTTCCACCTGCCATCGTTCCAGCGTGCTCACAACCGTTTCATGATTCACCTCGCCCCTACACAACCCGCCGGCCGACAAAGGCTCCTCGTCGCGCCAATTCCTGCTTGTGCAACCTAGCTGCAATCACTAATCGAGTGCGCAGAGTAGCACCGCAGCAGCGTGTGTGGGCTGAAGCGGCGGCGCGCTTTCCGCCGCCGCCCTCATGGAAACCAGATGTGAAGGTGAGGCGGAAGCACTCAAGACTCAAGACTACAACCCGAGCTCCGGCTGGCTGCTCCTTCCTTACCTTGGTGCTGAAGCGCTCGATGCAGGCACCAAAAAAGTGCAAGATATGCCAGCCCGCAGCGCAGCTATAGGCTTGCAGCTACAGTAGAAGCGCGCCGCATTCAATGGCCGATCATGCAAAAGTCCGGGGTCAAAGTGCTCGCTGGTATCGTGCTGAGACCCAAGGCGCGCCGCGCCCATGGCGTCTGACCCTCGCATAGAGACCAAGGGCCCCTGATCTAAAATCCAGATACCGTACCGTACCTTGACTCGTGATGTATAGCGCTCCATCCCTACACCGGTACCCTCAACGCTTGCCCGCTGGTCAAGTCTCAAGTCAGCTATACAGGTGTTAGGGCCGAACGTTGGTAGTCGTGAGTCTTGTACACCATATGAGGGTCACGAGTACGTCAGGAATGCATGCGCAGCATCGCCGAGACATCTGCCGCAACTTGTCTCGCCCACATCTACACCTGGCCTGACTGCCGAGTACGGTACATGGTGTTGTGTCACCTGAGCGCAGATCGCAGACGCTTCAAAGGCTTGTTGATGACCAAGAGGGCTCCACATTGACTTCGTGTCCGCAATCGCGAAACAAGCGAGTCGCTGATTTCGAGTCGAGTTTTGAGTACATGCAAACAAGATTCACGATTTCAAAGTGGCGTGATGCTGCCGCCTGCAATCGTGAATCGCTTCGTGCCAAGAGGTTCGTCCGCGAGTGGGAGCTTGTTGGTGAGACGCACCGAGGCAGCAAGCAAGTCAGCGAGCAAAATAAGCAAGCAACAAGCCTCTTCGCATAGGTGGCTGCCCGCCGGGTCGCGCGTGCTTGGCATGGCAAGCCACACGCGCGCGCGCGTCGAGCAATCACATGATCGAAATCACAAAAAGCACACGATAGCTACAACTCAAACTAGCACTGCCCGCCTAGCTGAGCTAGGTGATGCCTGTCAGAGCAGCCACTCACGACTGCGACTAGTCAAGGCTGGCTCGACGGCCCAAGTCACAAGTCAAGAGGGCACGTGGTTGTGAGTCACGAGTGTGAGAGCACAGCTCGAGGAGCTACATGCGGGGCGGCAAATGACCGGTCGGATTCACGATTCACGATTTGGCCCAACTGAACGAGACACCTCGCTCGCCTGTGGGCAGGCCCATACAAGGCCTGCCAATCCTTACATACCAGCATTCTCGAGTAGATGACTGGCATCCCTTGCAAACAAAAGTCTGCATTCTTGATTTGTGATTCGCGTCCATTGATTGGCACAGTCAGGGGAAGCTCTTCACGTTCCCTTGTTGACCGTCACGTGGTTCAAAAGGTGTGAGCTCTTAACGCTTGCGACCAGCGCTACAAAGCTACTGACGGCGGGTATCTCGATGGGTATAGTTGCGAGCGAAGCGATCTAAGTGAGGGAAGAAACATGCGCGAGCGCGATAGCACATGCACACGCACATGGGGCAGGTCTTCTGCCTCAGAAGTATTCAATCTGTCATGCGAGAGCATAGAGGTGAGTGATGGCAGGACACTGGCTGTACCCTCGACGTGGGACGGCACGTACCTCGAGAAACAAAAAGGCGGCCTCGGCTGGATCTCTAACATTCAAGCCTGCCGGGTTGAAGAGCTGTTTGTTCACTCGGCCCAGAACTGAACGCAGGTCCTTCATTTCCTTCAAAGTGGAATACAGATGTTGACCTCAGCGTCATGTTTGGGGACTACGCAGCCTCCCTTCGTCTGCTGTGCTTGCATGGCCGAGCGGACTCACCCTGTTGTACTTGCTTCCTACCACCAAAGGGCTGATCCAGAGTGTCAGCACAGCCAACACATTGTCGAAGGCTGCCCATCTGGAATCGTGAGCCCTGATCAGGATTTCGTTGAGATCGTTTATGGTCTCGCCAAATTGCACAGGTGCTATGCGACCTTCCAACTCCAAGGGAAAAGTTGGATGAAATTGGCACAGCTCTCCCAATGTGTAGTCCCGCTCCACCCTGTCGCGAAAGGCCACTGTTGGTGAGCACGTCTAGCTGGCGCATGCGCCGGAGGTGGACGTTGCAGAATCTGCCATTTCCACTATCACCAGCATTCGCAAGAGCGCGGGATGACAGGACTCACCTGATGACTTCTCTTGGTCTGTCTCTCCCAATCACTCCAGCAGGTGCAGTTCCAAAAGCGCTTCCTGGGCCAGGCGGACCAGTGTAATAGCTACTTCTAGGTCCCACTTGCGGTTGACTGCTCTGCCTTCTGACACTCGAGCGACCAGGAGAGCTGCTGGGCTCCTCTGGATTCACGGTGACAAGCGTCGATGGGCCCGCTTCATCCCTCTCATCTGAAGGTGCGCTGCCTGTCAGTGGATCCGCCATGCTCGAAATGTAGAGAGAATGGTCGGATGTTGTGGGAAGGTGTGTTGAGGGAATGAGGCGAAGCGCTGTTGTGTCAGCGGGTGGATCGACGAGTTCGGGATGAGCAAGCTGCCATTCGGTCAGTATGTCAAAGGATTGCGTGTGTGCGCTTTGACGGGCAAGAGCCTGGATGAAGAGAAGATAGAGAGGGATGAGCGCAAGCGTGCTTGGAGCGAGCATGCTGTGCTGCTTCGTCGCTCCGTTTGTGCATGGTTGTAGCACACCTCGATTATACACGCGTCCAACTATCAGTCACGTGCAGGGCTCCCTTGGCCCCCATCGACCGATCGCTTACTCGTGATTCTCAAGGAGACCCGCTCGCGCGGCCGCTCCCCGCATGCAGCAGCGCCGGCCCGCCTGGATCTGAATGCGTGAGCGTGCGCGCGCGCGCTGCTTGCTGAATCTTTGGCTGGCTGTGACCCGCCGCCGGGCTGAGCGAGATGCGAAGGCGCAAGCTGCTGCTGCTGCTGCTGCTGCTGCTGCTGAATGCTCAT